CTCTGTCTTTTACCATTCAAGAGGTTAATGTGATAATTTTCAAGTTTTAAAAGTCAAAGTGGAAATAAGGACCTTTGACTAGATCAATTTTAAAAGTACCCTGTTTTATTTGTATGATTAAAAAAAATCTTTATGTTATTTAAATTATATTGTTAGTCATGTCATGACTATCGTAGTAAGCTAGTGCTAAATATCACATATGCCACGTACTACTTGAATCTTAGTTCCTACGACTCTTTGTTTGCTTGTTTATATTGACTATCCATTAGTAAATTGTCTACAATTTGACTATTCAGGCTTTAGTTATAAAGTTGTTTTTCTTGAAACATAATTCATTCAAGTCATTCTTGATTATAACGTGTAACAAAATATTATGTACTTTTCAACATAGAATGAATTCCATAACATGTTTAGCTCTTGTTTGGTGGTCATTTTTGGAAAAGAATGTTGTTTTAAAGTGCAATTAAAATGTATGAAACAATTTTGGGTTTACATGTACAATATCTTATTGTGTGAATCGTAGTTGAAAATGAGTATGTAGCAAAAAAAAGTTTCTAAAAAATGAAAGACAAACGTGGCTTATTAATTCAATGTTCTAAAAAGTGTATAGTGTGGAGGCTGCTTAGACGTAAGAAAGCATTTTCTTATTTCACTATTATATTAAAAATTTAAATCAATCTAATTATTTAATAAGTATAGAAAAAGCGTTAAAATGTAAATGGAAAAAAAAAACACGTGCTAGGGTATGCCAAGGTGTGGAAAAAATTTTTAAAAATAAGTAATAAATAAAAAAGTAAAAAAGCACAATGCTAGGCGTTTTGACCTACTTCGAGCCTAGGCGGCGCCGACACTTTTTAGAATAGTCGACTGCATTTTGCACTTAGGGTCAATGCAACAATGAATGGATAAGATTTCTTGACTGTAGAGTTTGCAACATCTATACTTTCCTATAATAAAATTAGAGGGAAGGAGATAATTCAAAATATCTAATGTTATAATGGACACCTTTACTTTTAAATTTCAAATGTATAACAAACTCAATTCAGTTTGGGTCCTTTTCTTGGTAATGTCACAATCAGTCACATCGCTCTTTTTCCCTTTCTAATCGGCGATTAATCCATTTTTTCGTTATCCACTGAAGTACATTTTCGATATCTTATAATAAAAGAACAAGCACAACTTATAAATCCTCAACAATTTCAAGGAACCTGCTACACGTATAAAATAGGTTGACAAAGGTGGCTTACAATATGACGTGGCTGGGGGAAAAATTGTAAAAAAGTCTATAATAATGCTACTTGTAAAAGTACCGTATCTCTCACTTTTGCTTCTAAATTTTCCCCAAATCTGAAACCCTACTTTCTCCTCTCTCCCCACTTCTTTCCTCCTCTCCCCACTTCACTCACCTCCGGTAGAGGTGATATGATCCAGGATAGGCCACGAACCACCAAGGCTTCTATGGAAGTTGATGAGAAGCTTAAGGACTCAACGCATGTTGATAAAGAGCCAAGACCAAGAATCGAGCAAAGTTCGAAGAGCCAATAAAGTCATCCAATTACTTGATCGAACTATGGAGTAAAAAATGTTGAAGTTAACAAGCCAAATAAAAACTTATATCTTGGTCTTGAAGGTGGAATCATGTTTGGTGCACTGGATTCAATATTTTTGAAGATATATGGAAAAACGAACAGCGTGGATTAAAACGGGTATAACTTTCAATTCAAGTGTCGAATTTTCGCCCATGAGTACAATCCGAAATCGTCACGAAATTCTACATGAAGATAAAGAGGTTTCAAATTTAATACTATATGATCACATAGTATAAAAGGCATGCGACCATATAGACCATTTTCGAGACCAAATTGAAGGATTTTAAATGAACTATTCGATTGCATTGGATTACGCTATGATATTGCATGGTGTATTTCGAGACTTGAAGTTTCCTTTTTTCACGAGTTATCTATTTATGTTAGAAGTCCAATCAACAGTGGCAGTGAGAATAATCAAATTTGATTTTAGCCTTGCAATGCTTTAAGTGTTTCATGATTAGTTAAAATTTGATTTTTGGGTTAAAAATTTGATTTTGCTAGTGGACTTTACTGTTGAGCATACTTACAGCTCTCGGGATTTGAGAGAAAAATGATGATAATAATAATAATGGTTTATCATGTTTTCAGCAACACAAAATGCTGGGTTAGAACTCCGAAGTTTGCTACGGTTGCAGGAGTGTTGGACACTTCTTCGATGATTATCAAATAAAACGTCATTGTCCATGTTGTGTACATGGATTTTAGAATATTCTCGAGGTTGAAAGGGACACTATTAATAGAGGTAAATTCTTCAAATGTTGCAGTGAGAAGTGTGAGTTTTGGTATTGATGAAAAGATGGAGAAGCAACTAGTGAATCGAGTAACGGTAGAGTTACTTTGGGTGAAGAAGCCGCACGCAAAGAAGTTGAAGATATGTTACGAATGTTTCAATCACGAGTTGGGCTAAATAACGAAGAAGAACTGTTGACCGTGAACGTGAATGTGACAGTTCGTCGAAGAAAATCACCTGTCGAAGTGAAAGCAAAGGGGAAGGAGACGGCTTGATTAGTAGTTCATGAATGGCTATCTATGTAGGCAGTAGCTTTTCACATATTTACGTATACAATGCATGGCATTTTGTATTGTCTTCGATGGTGGACAAGCTTGCATTTTTGGTGAAGTAGTTCTATGAATTTCGTTGAAATTGTGATTCTCAATTTAGTCCATTAGTCTAATGCAGTGTGTTAGTTGATTTTGGTGTCACTGGATGTGCTAATCTATGTACCTTGTTAGTTCAATTAATATGCACTTTGGAGTTTAACATGAATATCCCGTTACTGTAATTTATGACAATTGTTAATTTATGTACGTTGTGTCTTGATGCTTCTTTTTGCTTGCAAAATGGAGAAGAAAATGAGTTCATTATGACTTTTTCTTGTACCCCACATTAGCAACACAATCTGCAATTTTATCCCCATCTCTCCAATTTCGTAAGTTTTTCACATCTGCTCGAATTGAAAATAACTCGTATTGAACATTGCACGGTCCTTTATTTTGGTGATAAATAACTCTTAAAAACCCTACTCACCTGCAACCTGTCTATCCCTATATAAGCTGCCATCAAAATTTAATTTAACCTACCATGACTTAGATTTCTTCTTCCACTAGAAAATAATAGGTTTGGTTCTAGCAAACCTAGTTTTTGATTTTTGCAATGTATTCTGCTTTACTCAAGTTCTCAACCATAAAATCAACTCTTCTAATAATGGTCCCATTACTCTTGGCATCAGAGGCAAAGCAGTAAGGGAAGCACCTAGGCCCTGAGTGTTTATTTTGCAAATGCTCAATTCTCATTGGCACATAAATGCAATACTCACCGCCACACCAGGACCACCAAAATATACTAATGGAATATTCATTGGCACATAAATGCAAGACTCACCCCCACACATAAATGCAATACTCATTGGCATATAAATGCAAACAAAACTGAAGCTATAAACAAAAAGAGAGTTCATTGCAGCAAGGGAGAGTTCATCACATTGTGATGACTAATAAAAGTAATTATCATACACATCTTGTAGTTGAACACTAAAATAATTGTCTAACAAATTACACATGAATAAAATGAAAGATTCTTTGGAATTATCATACACATCTTGTAAAGGACTGATAACATTTTTCTCATTCAGCAGCCCATACATCTATATATAAAAAAACTAGTTGTGTCCACTTTGTTTATCTGTTTACTTGAATTCAAAAGGTCCCACCATGATGCAGTGAATATGGATAGTTGTATGGTATCGTATGACCTAACGTGCAAATTACAATTAATGAACGGAGAGAAAGTATTCAAATTCAAAGTTGTTATTTAAAAATTTATGTACCTTGTGAATTGAAAATAACATTTGTGGTCATAGGAGGGATCAAAGTAGAAGACGACACTTGTTGTGTACAAGTGTGTCTCACCCCGTCAACCTACATCAGTTCACAGGCGTTAAGACAATGTAAAGTGCTTAAGACACGCTATAATTAATACACTAACCAATAGGAGTTGCGAATATGAGAACGACATCGTCGTGGAATGTTGTTGTTGAAGAGGAGGTGAAACCTCGGGTACACCATCGTCTATACTACTATGTCTCGATGTTTGTCTCTTTCCTTTGGTTCGATCTTATCGTACCTACATATATACCATAACGAATATTACTTAGTATATAAAATAAAGTACATAAAAGTGTAAGGCATAAGAATATACCTTTGATTTCTTAGCGCTCACCTCCAATGGGCCTTTTATCTGTTTTCTCTTTGGCGCCCCCTTTGTCTTTGGCGATTTCGGATCCTTAACGCTCCCACTCGTAGGATCTTGAAATGTAGCATACTGTGATATATTATTACTCTTTGAACTCGGCTTCCCTAAACTAAGCCTTTTATTTTGAATTTCTATCCAACCCATGATTGCACGATATCGTCGTTCATCATCGGCTGCAAGGTCTGCCACCTTGGAGAATGCTCGACACATGTCATCGTACCTCAATTATCTGGGAGTACTAACCAACCCATCATAATTAACTACAACCCTCGTGTGTGCTCTGTTGACGTCTCTCCTCCATCTCCGCAATATGTATTGATCCAACATTATAGTCACGTCATTACAAATCAACACTGCGATCGCATGCCTACATATTATTCTTCAAAACTCAAACAAGTGACAAATACAAATAATCTCACATTTCTTTGTATTGAATGAGACTAGAAACATTTTTTTCTTTCGTCGATCACCCAATAAAATGTCTTCACGTACCTCGTACATCATCCTCATATGTCCCTCCGAAGTGGATATGAGGTCGCAATAAACCTTCCTTGTAAATTCACCTTGAACTTCAAAATGCTGTACACTTTCTAATATTGTTTTTCCAGTTCATAAGTTGTTGCACACAATACCATCTGAAAAAAAGACTTGAAATCAGTCTAGAATTTCTTCTCAACCTTATTCCACATTGCTCGTTCATACTGTTCAATAAATTGTTTCAATGATGTCTTCGAATGCACATAACCATCAAAAAAGGCGTTTGTACTCTCACTTCTTCGCGTTATTGACATTCCAGCCCAAAAAGTTGTTTTCAAGAAACACGGAACCCAACGACCTCTATTTCATACAATCCCAACAACCAATCGTTCTTATGCAAGTCATATGTATCAATCATCAATTTTCAACCATTCTCAAATTCTTCGACAAACTGTGAATCATACACCGAAGTGTATATAGCCAAAAATATCAAAGACTTATCCACATAGTATGCAAAATTTTTCAAAATGTGCCACAAACACCATTTATGCCTCGTATTCGGAAAGACTATCTGAATTGCATTCTGCATGACTCTGTCTTGATCAATAATTATTTCGTGCGGAGATAGACCATGCATGCATTGAAGCCATGTCCTGAACAACCATATAAATGTATTTGTGTCCTCATTTGATACCAAACCACAACCCAACAACGTTGACTATCCATGATGATTCACGTCAACAAAAGGGACGAACAACATGTCGTACTTATTAGTAAGGTAAGTAGTATCAAATGTGACAACATCCTCAAACTCCTTGTATGCTTGCCTATATCGATTTTCTGCCCAGAACACATTTTTCAGACGCGATCGTCATCTAAGTCAATACTAAAATAAAATTTCGAGCACCGTGCTTGCATTTTAGAAAAGTAAGACTGTATTGCTGCCTCATCATCCTCGCCAAGTCTTAGTCGTCTCACTTGTTCAATATAGTTCCAAAAATCTTTTTTCTATACAAGTCATATTCTCATATCGAAGCAGGGGGCTATGAAAATATGACTTGTATAGAAACGAAAGCTTGAAGTGAACGATATGACTGGTTTACCATTCCACAAAAGTTTTAACTCTACAAGTCATAAAACGTTTTCTATACAAGTCATATTCTCATAGCCCCCTGCTTCGACAACCACAGAGTTAAAACTTTTGTGGAATGGTACTAGCCATATCGTTCACTTCAAGCTTTCGTTTCACGTGTGCACTTAATTCTTGATTGTATCGATATAACATGGACTAAGTAAGACTTGTTTTATGGTTGTGGTCAAGGTGGACTATGTTAGTTTTCTAGTAACCATGGATATCGAAGGATGCAGAGATTCTAACTTTACAACCCATCTGAATTATTGGTTGCGGCTTCACAGAAGTGCTTGTATTATCGTTTCTTCGTCCTTCTCGACTACATGTCAATGTGATATATCTCAAAATACCATCATTGTAACACCCCGAAATCTTTTTCATTATTATTATTTTTAAATAAAAAAATAGCTCGAGGTGTTACCAACATCTTCTTTGTCTGATCTAAGCGAAAGTATCACTTTCATTAAGTGTTAAAAATGCATAAAAATAGCTATTAAATAATGTGCATAAAATTCAATATGAAGATGTTCTTCAAATAAAAGTTTGACAATTATATTTTCTAGAAAATTTACTTGTCGACCCCTCAAGCATTACTTGGTTAATCTTTCAAGCGTCCACACGACCCGCTCTAATCTGAAAATTTGTAGTAAGAGTGAATATTTTAAAAACAATAAGTAAAAATACATGCACATTCTTATTCACATGATATAAATATAAAACTGACATAACATACGAGCATTTCTTAAATTTAGGGCTCAATGAATTTAACATCTTTGACCGAACGGTCCATCTCGTAGGATTTAACATCTTTGACCTAATGGTCCATCCTAAAGGATTTAACATTTTTGACCAAACGATCCATCCCATAGGATTTAACATAAAAATCAGCTTGACAGCCTTAACGTAATTCATGCCAAAAATTATAAAAATATCAAGAAAGTAAGAATTAACCACTTGTACTTTTCTTACCTCAAATGATATCAAAAATTCTGAAAATGGTTTGTGAATAAAATAATATCTCTTTTTAATATGTGTGTTTTCATGTGTGAATGTGTGTATGTAAAGGGGAAAAAAATACTTCTCACATATTATATATATAATATTCACTTGCAACTAACTATGAATACCAACCATCACACGCGTTAGGAATTTCAATAGTCTATTCTTTATTTCAATCAATCATGGTGAGTGTGTAAATTAGTATTCATTGATGGGATATATATATATATATATTATTAATAAAATATAGGATTTGAGTAATTTTCTTTCTATCAAGATAATTCGAATATGGTTAGTCCGAAAATTATTTTTTCTTGAGCCAATTTATATCATTCAACACGAGTTACCAAATGAGTATAATACTGATATATTTTATCAACTTCTAGAATACGTAAATATTCAACCCAAATAAGATTTACGATAAATTCTAAGTACACATGAGCAAAATAAATAATCAACATTTGGATTTTTAGTGTGACGACAAATCTAAAAATGAATTATTTCATTTGCTAAGTGACCCATATTAAGTTTAGGCTCATATGAAAATAGTAAAAAAAGTTCGGGGTGTTACAATCATTATCCTTTGTCGAACTCCTCTTCCTAGTTGGAACACCCACGGCATATGCATATCTTGCATAAAAATCGTACACTTCTTTATCATCATTAAACTGCACACCAACCTTAGGCACAATACAATCATTTCTTCCTATAGTTTCCTCTCCCACAACATTTACATTGCTATCCACATTCTTATTTTCGGATTTAACGGAGAAAACATCTTCCATGTTATTGCCTTCTGCAAAACGTAAATGCTATAAGTCATCAACTCATATTAAACAGCTGAGCTCATTTTAGTGGATATTTATACCGATCTTCCAAAATTTTCATCACAGAATATAATTAGGGCAAAAGTCTAGTTATTTGGTTAACTAAAATGAACAAATGAATGAACTAAGGGTCCGTTTGATTGCAAAGATGGAATTTGGACGGAAAGAAAACGAATTTCAGGGAATTGAATTGTTTCGAAATTGTTTTCCTAATAATTGTAAATTATTGTATTTGATTGGTATAATTTTTCACGTGAAAAGTTTTGAAATAAAAGTATTTTTAGGTGTTCGTTGGACTTTATTTTACATGAAAATTATCAACTGAAGGGATAGATTTTATTAGTATTGGGGATGAAATTTCTTTCCATTGCAAGAAAAAAAATCAAGAAAATCATCTATCTTTTGGTGTTCGTTTGACTTTGTTTTACATGGAAATTTCCAATTAAATGGAAATATTTTTTTACAATAATTCTTAGAATTTGTTTTCATTATAAAAAATAAAATAAAATAAAAAAAGAAAAAAACTACTACAGTAATCCAGGAAAATGTTCCTTCAGAACATGGAAAATGTCTATGTGGCATGAAAATGTGGAAAATGAATTCCAAGGAAATTTTTGCCAATCAAACACCAAAAAAATGAAAAGATGGAATTGCAATTCCTTTTTTAATTGAACTTCCACTCTATCAAACACACCCTAATTAAAAAGGAAATCTTACAATTCAGCCAAAAAGATGTCAATTTCAATGGTGTTCTAAATTTCTTATACTTCATAATTGAATTAATTGATGCAAAAATCCAATTTTCCAGGAAGATTTCAAAAATTGAAAATGCAATTATTTCCATTTCTCAAACACTATCAAAATCTAACAGCTCAACTCATGCCAAGAAATTCCAACCTACAAAACAAAAGCATCCATACCTTCTTATGTGACGATCGAGCGTTGCCGAAGATGGTAAAGATAGGTTGAAGTAAATAATATAGACCGGAGGTGCGAGGTCGGACGTGGTGTTGATGCTTGGTCTCTCGCTACCTAGCCAATTTTTGGATTCTTGCTATACAATGTTGGGGAAATTGTCGGAGGTTCGCTACCAGTCATTGGACGTTGATGCGGGGTCTCTTGCTACCCGGCCATTCTTTGGATTTTTGCTACACCATGTTGGGGAAATTGTTGGATTTTTGCTACAAGTCGTTGAAGAAATTATTTGAGTTTTGCTGGGAAATTTTTTGGAGTTTTGCTACAAGTGTACGTTTTGGAGGAAATTGTTGAGCTTAGCTACAAAAGATTGGTGAAAATGTTGGATTTCAGTATTATTACTCCAGTATCTTTGTTTTGGCGCCATAAATTTCCACTTCTCTCTTTTAAAATCATAGCCATCCAAATGCTTTTTATCTCGGTTGCACACGTGTCTTTGTCAACCCATTTTGTAACCTTCCTTTATACAAGTAGCATTATTGCAATTTTTGATACCCTTTGTGTTCCACTTTTGAATTTATTTTTCAGAAAACAAAAGACTGATTATATATATATATAGAAAATGCAAATGAGATCGAAAAAGATAATAGAATTGTTGGTAAATTTAATTGGTAGTGTATGAAGCGAAATCGGGTTCTCATATACCGTATATGTGATTTAAACACACACACACACACACACACACACATATAATGCAAATGAGATCGAAAAAGATAATGGAATTGTTGGTAAATTTAATTGGTAGTGTATGAAGCGGAATCGGGTTCTCATATACCGTATATGTGATTTAAACACCGGATTCACGCTTACCCTATTTAGCAGTTCAATTCATCATATATGACAGCTTACCGTATATGCCATGTAGCTCACCGTATTTAACAGCTTACCGTATATGCCAAGCAACTTACCGTATTTGCATAAAAGTGTTTTTATTCATACACTAACTAAAATAACACAAATTTTTTTCTACTTACAAATAGAATTACCGTATTTGTGAAATCTATTTTTCATACATATAACGAATTGAAAAAAAATGTTTATTTATTATTGTTATTTTTTAGAAATTTATTTCTAACATAAATTTAATAAATAATATATGAGACGTGTAAATCGCTAAATAAATAAATCTGCAAGAAGAAAATGCAAACTGAATAAATAGCAGATAAATTTTCAACCCGAGGTCTGTGCGAACACAATTTCCTTAAAATAGATTCGCCCCCTCACCATAAGTGCTTGAGATTTAATTCGAGTGTCTGTTTCCTAGGATACAACAGCAAAACCTGTAGAATCTGAGCACCACAGAAACTACTCCGGCGAACTAATACAGTGTTTGAACAATATTACAACGACTTTACTGGACAGATATGTGTATGCATGAAATCACGACCTTACTGGACAAAGACAAAGACATAAAATTCAGGACGTTTTTTTCTGAATAGCGAGGAAGAGAACGTTCTTTTTTTTTATTTTTTTCATCTATGTAAATTGCTGGAAACTTCAGATTTAATATAACATAAATCTATCATTAACTCTATGACAATTAACATTGGAGTCACTTTAGTTTCTGGGAGTTTTGGAAGTTTCAGAAACTCAAAAGTCAGTGAAGAAAGCAAAAAAAATTGCAAAACTTGGGCTCTCCAAAGGGGCCAATTTTTGCTTCATTCGGTCTAACATTCGTGTACGCAGGTTGCGTCCACACACAAGTTCAAGGTTTGAAGGCAATTTTGGTCCGAGATTTACACCTCTCCTGCGCGCGCACGTAGAAAGAGCATCTATGCTACACATGATTACACTCTTCCAATGTGTAACCATATTTAAAGTGGTTCTTGCTTTCTTCCTTTTCCTATGTGGGACAAAATCTATTTTCCCATATAAAACTATCTTCCAATTGTCAACTTTGAACTCCAATTTCTCATTCAGCCGAGCTTCATTTTTGGCAAGTAAATATATGATTTTGATGCTTTCACAGAAGAAAACACGGATCAATTTTGATCTTCCAAATGGAACAACGGGTCCCACCGAAAATCTTATCAAAAGTGAGTTATTACTCATTTTTTCCAACAATCCCCCACATGAATGAAAATTGGGAGAGACATAAGACCATGAGACACGAGACTTGGTGACCGTGAGACACAATACTAGGTGATAAAGTTCAACGGTTGAAACCTGCATAGGATAGGTAGGTATCACCCTTTAAACCTTTCCTTGTGAAAGCATATTTACTTTTCTAGCTGACCAGTAGACATATTGTCCTTGAATTGTTCTGCCATTTATGTAAACAATGATATACTCCACACAGAATTCTTCCTAACACAATTCAGTTCTCATTATTATGTTCGTTTTAACCATAAACATATGCCGGTTCGGTAAGAGTTCTTAAGAATTGAGCCACACACAATTCTCTTAGAAGCGGCCCCACTTCTCTCTCACATAGGTGATTTCTCATTACAAGTAACCCGCATTACTTGGCTCGAACTTCGATACATAAGAATCATTAAAAGCCTATTGCTTATCCTTTATCCTCATAGGCATCACTATTACATCAGAAGAATGGACAAGATGAAACATCCCCACAGTGATTTTATTAAGCCTTTACAATTAGGTTGTCCATTTGAACCTAGATTTTGGGATCTCCAGTCAACTAGGTTGGGTTTTCTTTGTAATGATTTATTCATTCAAGGGCTTAAGTCTCATTTCTTTCGATGATTTTTCAACTAACTCTCTGTTTAATCCTTTGGTTAGCGGATCCGCAATGTTATCTTTTGACCTTACATAGTCAATAGTGATCACTCCAGTTAAGAGTAGTTGTCTTATGATATTGTGTGTACGACGTATATGTCTAGACTTATCATTGCACATGATACTCTGTGCCCTTCCTATTGCTGATTGATTGTCACAATATATGCAAATTGTTGGCACAGATTTTGATCATCTTGGAATATCCTCTAAGAAGTTGCGCAACCATTCGGCCTCTTCACCATATTTATATACAGCTATAAACTTAGATTCCATCGTAGATCTGGTTATAACTATTTGCTTAGAGGATTTCCACGATATGACAGCACTTCCCAATGTGAACACAAATCCACAGGTGAACTTTAAGTCTTTTATATCAGATATCCAATTAGCATCACTGTATCCTTCAATGACCGCTAGATATCTGGTATAATGTAGTACATAGTCACGAATATATTTTAAGTATCTTAGTACTCTTACTATTCCTTTCCAGTGATTAGCTCCTGGATTACTCGTGTATATGCTCAGTTTACTGACTGTGTAGATTATATCTAGTCTTGTACAACTCATCAAGTACATTAGACTTCCAATAACTCTTGAGTATTCTACTTGAGAGACACTTTCACCTTTATTTTTAGATAGATGTTGACTTGTATCTATCGATATTCTAACCAAACCAGTATCATCCTTATTGAATTTTTCCAAAATTTTGTCTACATAATGTGACTGACTTAGAATAAGCCCATCTGATTTTTTGAGGTTTTGACTCCAAATATAACATCAGCTAAACCCATATCTTTCATGTCAAATCTCGAATTCAACATATTTTTAGTGAATTTAATCATCTTATTGTCACTACCAACAATAAGTATGTCGTCAACGTAAAAACACAAAATGACATAACCATCTTTAGTGTCTTTGAAGTAAACATATTTGTCACACTCATTGATTTTAAATCCACTCTCTATCACTATATTATCAAATTTTTCATGCCATTGTTTGGGTGCTTGTTTCAAGCTATATAGTGACTTTACCAATTTACAAACTTTCCTTTCCTGTCCTGGTGACAAAAACCCCCCAGGTTGTTCCATATAAATTTTTTCTTCTAAATCTCCATTTAGAAAGGCAGTTTTAACATCCATTTGATATACTTCAAGATTTCGCAAAGCGGCAATCGCAAGTATCAACCTAATAGATGTATCAAAGTAATCAAAGCCTTCCCGTTGTTTGTAACCTTTAATTACTAATCTGACCTTGTACTTTTCAATAGTTTCATCTGGTCTCATTTTCCTTTTGAAAATCCATTCATAGCCTAATGGTTTGCTTCCTGGAGGAAAATCCACTAGCTCCCATGTATGATTTTGCAGTATGGAATCTATCTCACTTTTGATGGCCTCCTTCCATTGAGGTCCTTCCGAGGAATTCACAGCCTTTTGATAACTTTGAGGTTCACTTTCTAGCATATAGGTTAGAAAATCAGGACTATAAGATTTTTCTGTCCTTTCCCATTTGCTACATCTAACCTCAGTTCCCTCTTCTAGTTCTTTATCATGACTATTTTTAGTCATAGTCTCATATGTTCGTTTGGAGGAGCTTGCTTCCTCTTTGGACTTGTACGGAAATGCATGTTCAAAGAATAAAGCATTTCTTAATTTCAATATCGTGTTTTTGTGTATGTCTGGGATTTTAGAATCATACACAAGAAATCGATAAGCACTACTATTGTGTACATAGACAATGAAGATGCAATCTACCATTTTTGGCTCTATCCTTACCTTCTTTGGTGCTGGAATGACCACTTTAGCAAGACACCCCCATACTCGTAAGTATTTATAGGAAGACTTTCTTCCTTTCCATAACTCATAAGGGGTCTTTTCTATTTTTTTTTCGGGGCACCTTATTTAAAAGGAAATTTACTGATAACTCAGCTTCTCCCCACATGTTCTGAGGTAACCCAAAACTTACTAGCATTGTATTCATAATTTCCTTTAAAGTACGATTTTTTCGTTCAATAACACCCTTTTTGTTGTGGTAAATAAGGTGCGGTGGTTTCATGTATAATTGTGCACAGAATTTCGCAAATGGTGATTCATACTCACCACCTCGATCGCTTCTTAACACCTTAATTTTCTTATTAAATTGAGTTTTAACTTCACTCTTATAGAGAACAAATTTCTCTATAGCTTCATCTTTACTTTTTAGCAAATACACATAACAGTATTTGGTGCTATCGTCGACAAAAATGATGAAATACTTGTTGCACCTCTTGTTTGTACAAGTTTTAAGTCACATACATCACTGTAAATTAAATCAAGTGGTTATGTGTTCCGTTCAATTTTTTTAAACGATGACCTTGTCAATTTTGTCTCAACACAAGTTTCACACTCATGTTTTGAATCAATGTGGAACTCGAGTATGCAATTCAAGTTAACTAGTCTTCGTAAAGTATCATAATTAACATGTCCTAGTCTACCATGCCACAAATTGGAATACTCAAACAAATAAGCAGAAGAGTTTGCTTTATTCATTTTTTGTTTAACAACCAGTACATTTAGTTTAAACATACTGTCGAAAACATATCATTTTCCGACAAACATTCCACTTTTTGACAAAATAACTTTATCTAACTCAAATACAATGCGAAAATCATGATTATTCAAAAGCGACCCGGACATTAAGTTCTTGCGAATTTTCGGCACGTATAGCACATTGTTGAGAGTCAGCTCTTTTCCCGAGGTCATCTTCAGAACCACCTTTGCTTGACCTTTGATTTCAGAAGTTGCTGAATTTCCCATGAACAACTTCTCCCCGTTCTCAATTACTTCAAACGCTGCAAACAGCTCCTTATCAGAGCACACATGCCTCGTAACATCGGTGTCAATCCACCACTCCTTAGGGTTTGATCGCACCATGTTCACTTCAGAAATGACAGCTGAGAGATTCAGCTCTAACACATCTTGTGCCATGTAGTCAACCACATTTGCTTCTTTCTTCTTCTTTGGAAATCTGCACTCTAAAGATTGTGGCCCACTTTATCACAATTGAAGCATTTCCCTTGAAATTTCTTCTTAGAAATTCCGCCTTTCAGTCCTTGCTTGGTCCTTTTGCCAATGGATGACCCAGACTTGTTTTTGTAGGTCTTACTACTTTGACCATACTCCACAACATTAGCTTTAGCAGCACCAGGATTGAACCACTTCTTTTCAGAACTCTTGTTGTCTTCTTCAATTCGAAATCTAACAATTAGTTCTTTGACGTTCATTTCCTTTCGTTTGTGCTTCAACTAATTCTTGAAATCTTTCCACGCGAGAGCAAATTTTCAATAATTGTAGTCACTTGAAAAGTTTCACTCAAAATCATCCATTCGGCATGAATTTCGTGAAGAATTACTTGAAGTTCTTGCACTTGACTGATAATTGTTTTGGAGTCCACCATTTTATAGTCTAGGAATCTGCCGACAATGAATTTTTTAGCTCCGGCATCCTCAGTTTTATATTTTCGGTTCAAAGACTCCCACAGTTCCTTAACAGATTTCATAGTACTATACACATTGTATAGCGTGTCTGGTAAGCTATTCATAATATAGTTTCGGCGCAGAAAATTTAATAGTCCAAGCATCAAGTGCACTGATGGCTTGAACATCTCCCTCACCCTCATTGAGTTTTGCAGCAGTTTCAGTCAAGAATCTTGCAAAATTCAAAGTGGTAAGATAAATTAGAATTTTCTGCTACCACCTTTTGAAATTCACACCATTAAATTTCTCCGATTTTTCTCCATGATTAACCAGAACACTAACGGCATGGCCAGTTGTTGGAGCCACAGTTTGACTCATAACATGACTTGACAGTTTGAGCCACAACAGAACTTGGCCCTTGAGCCACAATTGAGCCCATAGCCTGATTTCCAATAGGCACGTTTGGGTCATATCCATGTTGGTCGATTCGTTTACTATTTCTAAAAATCAAACAAAAAATTAGTTTCTAAAATTAACAATATAAGAAACCAATTTTTCTTTTACGAATTTGTGTTTAGTTAGGAAATTTAATTGGTAGTGTATGGAGTGAAATCAGGTTCTCATATACCGTATATGTGATTTAGACACCGAATTCACGCTTACCGTATTTGACAATTGCTTACTGTATTTGGTAGTTCAATTCACCGTATATGGCAGCTTACCGTATATGCCAGGCAACTTACCGTATTTGACAGCTTACTGTATATGCCAGGCAGCTTACCGCATTTTCATAAAGTGTTTTTATTCATACACTAATTAAAATAATACAAATTTTTTTCCACTTACAAATAGAATTACCGTATATGTAAAATCTATTTTTCACACATAACGAATTGAAAAAAAAATGTTTATTTTATTTTTTTTCTTTTAGAAATCTATTTCTAATATAAATTTAACAAACGATATATGAGATGTGTAAATCGCTAAATAAATAAATCTCCAAAAAGAAAATGCAAACTGAATAAATAGTAGATAAATTTTCAACCCGAGGCCTGTGCGAACACAGTTTCCTTAAAACAG